CAACGGGATAGCAAGCGACCCAAGAATGGCTATCTGTGAAATGTCAGTTTTGTTTTTCATTTGAAAATTTTTAAAAATCACTTGTGATGATGATATATGAATAAGTTTGAATCAGGAACCAAAATGATGACCCCCAGAAGACCTGGAACATGTGTAAAAATGGTCAATTCGTAAAAAATAGCCTAGAACTCCGCGATTTTTTAAACAACTTGCTGTGATGCTGCATTAATTAGTTTAAATTTTAGACCAGGATGTGCCACAAGACAATCCTCCGGAAGATCCGGAACAACCATAAGGGTGGTCAATTTGTATAAAAGATCCTAAAACTTAAGTCATTTAATATTTGGATGCACTGTTTATTTTACTGCAGTGCTCCTAGCGGTCGGATCTGAAATTTTTTGACAGCAGTTTGTTTTGAAATGTTTCCTCGAAATTTAATTTTGGACACGCACTTGAAAAATCCAACGTGGTCAGGTTCAAAAATCGTGAAGCCGTTGAAGTTTGCTAAATCGACCGTGTGCAGTGTTCTCAAACGTCTCCGTGAGCGGCAGGATCATAGCAAGCGTCGTAGTTGAAAGCTGCTTTTCGGGTCAGCAAGCAAACAATCAGGACACTAAAGCAGAATCTAGTAATCGAAAGACGTGCCCGGAAGTTCTTACAAAATACGAAGGATGCATCCTCATGGACGACGAAACGCACGTGAAGATGGATTATGGGCAGCTTGCCGGACAAAAGTTCCATAAAGCCACCGGTCGTGGTGATGTCCTTAGCAAGTTCAAATTCGTTTTTGCCGATAAATTTGCAAGGAAGCGTATGATCTAGCAAGGTATTTGCAGCTGTGGACAAAAAAACAGGTTTTCGTGACAAACTAGAATATGGATTTAAAAATGTACGAGCAGGAGTGCCTGAAAAAAAACGTAGTCTTCCGTGCATTAAGGCTCACAATGGACCTTTAAAGATTTTGGTCTGGCAAGCTGCCACTACAGCGGAAAAGTTCTACAATGGTATCGAGACAACGGGGTAGATTTCTTCGAAAAGGACATCAAGCCATCCAACTGCCCTCAATTCCGCCCAATTGAGAAATATTGGGCCATTGTTGAAGATGCTAATTTCAAATAACATACTAAAGTGGTAATTTTTATACGATAGATGAGTAGAGTATAGAATTGATAGTTCCATTAGAGTACGGCAGTGTGCAAATTGCATATAGAGAGTAGAAAGTGAGCAAGGACAGCTTTAGGAAGGTACAAATCGGTTTGATCACCTCTCTTTACCAAACTCCCCCGTTGGAGAGGGATGGTGAGGGGTATTCCCCCCCCCCCCTGCTACCACTGGCAAAAAGAGATGATCACCGACTTGCTCATGTACCGACGCTGTGTTTGAAATAGTTCTATCGATTTTTACCGCACTCAAGTTGTTATCTGGAAGGCATCCAGTCGTAGGTTTGGAAATTGCAGCTATTGTTTACCCCTACCACGGTATGTGCTCCTGTCATCGTCGACTTGACAATCTCGAGGGACACGAGTAGGGTAGGTGCTGCTACTGTACCTTTCGACCAATAACAGTAATTGATGGTAAGCTCCCATCCAGAGTTATCTACTTTGACTATAATATGTTTAGTATTACTTCTGCGTGAAGTCAACGATTTACATAATTGAAGATGCTAATTTCAAATAACAGATTAAATGGTAATTTTTATACGATAGATGAGGAGATGAAAGTATAGAATTGATAGTTCCGTTTAGAGTAAGGCAGTGTGAAAATTACATAATGCATTAGGCCATTGTCAAACAGAAGTTGAAGAAGAGTGGAAAGGTGACTCAAGATGTGACAGAGATGAAGAGATGGTGGAACAAAACGGCCGCCAACGGTTAGCCCAAATATAATGAGTGGTATTCGAAGAAAAATTCGAGATTTCTTCAAAACCAAATCGGAATAATTTGTTTCGCTATTTTTCATTTAAAGTGCAATAAATGACCTTTATTTTGAGTACGGTAAAACCATAGAGGTAACTCTAAGACAAGTAGGTCCCGAAGAAACGTGCTCAACTTTTTGGCTCACCTCTGGTACTATCTTCGGTCCCAAGCTTATCGAATCACCCCTCGAAACATAGGTAAAACCAATAACCCCTCATTTTATCTGTCAAACTTTCATAGCGAATCAAAACAAACATTGCGTAGTTCTAGAATTTCGACTAGAATAGGGTACGTTAATCGTTTGCTTGGGACCAATAGGCTACTAAAGTGGTGAGCTAATTTAAAATCGTTAGTTTCGTATTGATTGTTGGTAAAACGGGGTATCTTTGATAATTCGGGTAACTTTGATAGCAGAATATAATGATTAAATTTACTGTTTGCACTATTTCTGATTTGTAGTTAAGGTATTATCTAGTTTATGTAGTATGTTTACATATTTTCCAAACATCTGAAAAAAAAATCAATAGTATTTATTTTCGCCTGACTGAAAAGGCACTCAAACAATCACTTATTAAATGTATTTCTGATATAGCCATCAGTGAACTTTTTGTTCTTAACATTCCAGCACAGAATCATTTAAGGATAAGCTTGCTATCTACTATTAAGTGAAATTTTATCAGCTACAGCTTTGCTGAAGACCACTTTCTGATGCCGATAACTCCGGAGTACTTTGAGATTTGGGCGTAATTGCTGTTGTAAACAAACACTTCAATCACCATTTTTTTGCGAATAAAAACTCAGCCTAGAAAATTAACAACACAATCATGTAGAAGAATGATTCCTCTGTCATTTGGAATAGTTTGTTTGCGAGATTGAGTTTTTATTCGGAAGAAATCAGTGATTGACGTGTTTGTTTACAAAAGCAATTACATCCAAATCTCAAAGTTCTCCGGAACTTTCTGTTATCATCAATCAACTTGACAGCACAAACGAAGTGACAGACGGCAATTTTTCAGTCTACCACATGGCAACACCACTACTACTGGATTGTACCACATGGAAACACTAAATGTACTAGAATGTGTTGGTTCTATCTCTTTCACTCTACTCTAAACTGAAATGCATAAAAAAATGGCAAAATTATACACTCTTTGCACACTGTCAAAGATCATATTGCACACAAAATGAACTATGTTCAAATCAAAACAAAAATACTAGCCCCTCTGGTGGCTGATGGCACAAGCTTCTAAGAAAATTCTATTACAGCTATCCACATTATTTTAATTGATTTCATCACCAGTTAGTCGTCTGTCACTTCGTTTGTGTTGACAGTGAGCAGTGTTGGAAAAGTTCGCGAGTCATAGTGAGTTTTCGCGAACTTTTCCATCACTGACAGTGAGCATGCATAAGGGCGAAAACGCGACGATCGATTCTCTTGGTCGATTTTCTATTTTGTTAATAACTTGCTAGAATTAACGTTTCTCGGTGCGTTTGCTGTTACTTTTGACAGCCAATACAACCTGTTACAATTCTGCATTGAACAAATTCCTGAAAATTGTTTCGCTTAGCTGTAGCAATGCAAAGAGAAAATCGATGAAGAGAATCGATCATCGCGTATACGCCCTTATGCATGCTCACTGTCGTTACTGCATTCAGGACAACAGATCGTGTCACCAAGCGGTTCAGACTTTTGTGAAATTAAATGTTCCAATGATAGTGTGATGGGGCCTCCCTTAGATCAGTCGGTAAAGGCGCAGCTACAAAGCAAGACCATGCTAGAGGTGACTGGGTTCAATTCCCGGTCCGGTCTAGGAATTTTTCGGGTTGGAAAATTTTTCGACTTCCCTGGGCATAGAAGTATGATTAGACTTGCCACACAATTATACAAATGCAAAAATGGTACAGGCATCGAAAGCTCTCAATTAATAACTGTGGAAGTGATAGAAAAATCCGTGCAAATTGAATGAACCATCTTCTTAGTCAGTCCAACCGAACGGAGTTTTTAACGAGTTGATTGATTAACGATTAATAAAAGTCAACGGAATGTGGATTTTAACATTCTTTGGATTAAGAAACATGATGTCGTGGCTGTGAAAATGATGTACTCAACTACTTCTGCATTAACGATGGAGTCAAATATGGTAACTTCCATAACATAGCTTCCGCTTGTCGGTAGCCCTAAATTTTGTGAATGGGTGTATCTGAGGACAATTGGGTGGGTTGATGTGTTTGATCACTTTGCTGGGTTGGTACGATCATAGAACCATCTGGGTATAGTGACTGCTGGCAAGATCTGACCAGGATTGATAAAACGGCATTCTTAATAGTACCGTTGAATCTGATCAATTAAAAATTTTAAATTCCATGGGCTTCGACAGTTTTTTTTTTTCAGTGGTCGCCGGAAGGTTTTTAAAATAATTTTGTAATTTTTGTGTTAGCCTATTTTTTATTTGCTTCCTCAAATGCATTGCGTCTAGAAAATTATCAAGTGAAGGTTTTTTTTTACAAAAATATGCATTCTTGAAACATACTTGCATGTGTGAAACATATGCAGAGAATGTAATCAATCAAACCCTACATTGGATGTAAGAGATTTTTTTTGCAATGTTACAATAATTATCACCCAGAAAAACGTCTTCAGCAAGAGAAACAATGAATCCGAAGGCTGTATTTAGTCATAAAATAGATTTAGGTTGAGTGGCTGCAAATTAATTATGCTCGTCATTTGGGCCTTTCCAATTTCTGCGCGTTGGGCGGGGTGTATAAAACTACTTCTCATTCACTCTATTAGGCACAGTCCGCGAACAGTCCTCGTCCGATTCAGATCAACCAGGAGGTTTGCAGCACTCAATAGTTTCAGCAAGTGTCTGTTTTTGCTTTGCAAAGTCAACCGAATTTTACAATGAAGGTTTTCGTAAGTAGTTCCGAGTGATTAAGTGTTTTTTATAGTGACAATAAGGACTCTCAAGTGAAAATCTAGTGAATCAGTTACTGATTGAATGTTGTGCTTTTCTGTTGTTCTTTCCGATCGTTTAGGTGTTGGGATCAGCGCTGCTCATGACTGCGGTCTGCTCCGGATCGTACATTCCTGCCGATACCCCTGAGGTCGCCGCTGCCAAGGCTGCTCATTTCGCTGCCCACGCCCACGTCGCTGCAGGTGCCGGTCCAGTTGGCCACCATTGGGATCACTATGATGCCCCAGCTCAGAAATGGCACGGACCCATCCACATCCCGGTGATCCACAAGGGTGTCCCAGTTGAAACCCCAGAAGTTCAGCACGCCAAGGCTTTCCACGCTGCCGCTTACGCTAAGGTTTCCTCCGGATATGCTCACCATGCCCCCGCTGATTATGTCCATGCCCCAGCCCACCACGAAGCCGGAGCCTGGCATGGACCTCAGCACATCCCAGTGATCCACAACGGTGTCCCAGTCGAAACCCCAGAGGTCCAGCACGCCAAGGCCTTCCACCTGAATGCACTGCATAACGCTGGTGCGCACTCCGGATCAGCTCAATGGGCCGCTCAAGGGCATGGACATGAGGATGATGGCTCTTACAAGCCACACTTGTACGAGGCCGAGCACTATTAAGACACATTTCCACGAATGCCAAACAACCCTAGGAACTAGCCAAATGTTAAATACTCATCACTCTGTCCATGCCTGATGCCTTCGCGACTATTGTAAAAAGCATTTCACACACCACGTGCGTCAAATTCGCTCAACTATTGAGTGCCAAGTAGAATTGTCAAAACAAAGGAAGAGTGCTCCCACTGCCGTCACACCATAACAACATACGGGTGACAATCTTCGAGTCAACATCCCGATCGAGGTAGGCCACGCCTTTAGCCACCAGTGGGAGTAGCTTCAAACGAATGCCTAGAAACGTCAGATCGATCGAAGACTACTTAGATCCAAGTCTGGAAAATACAAAGAGCAACAACAACAACCTCATGACGAAAGAAAAGGAGAATGAGCGAAATGTGGAAATACACTCTGTAACGATTTTGTAACTATTCCTCCTTTACGCACAGTGTACACAATCTGTAAATGATCTTGTTTATTAAAAGACTATTAATGCAAAAGATTTGAAGAATCTTAAACAATGTGCTTTTTAATTAGATAAATAACAAAGGCTGTCGATGACATTTCTCGTTCTGGATGGGTTAAACATTGGCTGCAAGCCCCAAACCTTAATCACATTTTTCACTAGTTTTGTATTGCCATCGATGATTTTGAAACGGATTGTCTTAAAGGTGTTCAAAATACTGCTTAATGACATATGGGTCAATTCCAGCTCAAGTGGGTACACCACCTATCGTCGATGTCAACGATTTGAGCCAAACTTGGCAAAAACGCTTATTTTGGCATTTTGAACAAATGCCTTTTTTTATTTTGCTCTAAAGTGCCTAGATCCTTCTGGGCTACTATCCTGGATTTTCGATTTTTTTTTTAAATTTCAACTTTCAGAAGAGATTATTCCACAACCAAATAAGCTATTCGTGAGCTTAGAACGTCAATTTGAAGGTTTTTTAATGTTGATTTTTATAAATGCACAAAAATTTTGTTTTTGTTTTAGTAACTACAGTAAACAGGCTGATTCCCGCCATGTAACCAAATTGTCAAAAAATGGCCAATTTTCACCATGGGTGGGATTTTTTATTTCTTTATATTTTGGGCTCAAATTTTCACCACACTTTGGAAAACTCAAACAATCTAGTTCTAAATCACAAACGTAGTCCTACACAGCAAAAAAATAATTTTGATATCACGTCAAAGTGGATGAACTACAATCATGTCGAAAATATGGTGTAATATTACTTGCTAAAAAGGACAAAATTATCATTAATACAATGCATGAACTGACATTACGCTGCTTTTACTGCATTTGTTTATTTATGTGGTCATAAAAATTACATGAAATTTTCGACATGATTGTAGTGCATCCACTTTGATGTGATATCAAAATTATTTTTTTGCTGTGTACGTCAAAAAGAACAACAGTGACACTATTATACGGGAAGTCGTGACCAGGGCTGTCGTGCATCAACGTAGAGAGAGCAAAGTCAGTGATGAAAAATATTGTATTACTATCTTCGTTGCACTCCAAGCAGCGCATCGAGGGGGCGACACATCTAAATCTCAAGTTTAGATGCTTAACAAATCTCACACTAGCGAATCAATCTGAGAAAAATCTTCTTTCATTGGTCGCATCTACTTGGATCGCTCATCATCTTTTTGCAAGAAATCTTCAGAATCGTCATCAATCTTCTTTCTATCTACTCAGCGTGCGCGCAGCTAGCCACAGCAAAACACAATCTTTTTTGCATCGTAAATAGAGTCGTCCCCCAATTTCGTATGAAGACAGTCCTCTTTCATTTACGTCGTGATAAAAACTAGCTCAGAAGTTCTCTTACTCTCTCTTAGATCTGTCGGTTACTCGGAGAGGATTAAAAAATGCACGTTTTACTCAGCCGTTCCGTATTGTTTGACAAAAAAATGATGATCGTAGGAAGCAACACAAAAAACTTAAAATGGGTACAATACGAATTTAAAACCACCAACGTTGAGATTAACAGGCTTGTGTCTTTACCAATGGTCTATCAACAAAGAAAAACAAGAAGCGCTCATAGTGCTTTATTTTTGACCATGCATGATACAAAAAAGAGAAGTAAAGGTAAAAGATGCGATAGGATTTGTTCAAAGGGATTACTGTCGGCTTCTCTTCGTCAATGACGAAGGATGTATGGAAATGATGGTTTTTGTACCGCGACAATTTATTTTTGGTTTTCGTAAAACGTCACTGACTAAACTGATCATTACCAACTCTGGTCGTTACCCTATAGTTTGGTAATAAGCAGATCGGCAAAGAATTAAAGAAGACTAATGATTGTATACCAAATCAGCATTTTGCAAATTGGGCAGCATTTTAAGTATACTTTCAAATGTAATTAGCCTGGTTCACCCAATGTTGCCCAACTTGGAGCTGTTGACACTGGAAATAGAGCTAATCTTGGTTCAAAACCTTGAATATCTTAAGCAATATTGAAGAAAGGAACTTGTGTTCCAAAACAAAATGGCGTATTTAAAAAAAATAACAAACATTTGTGTAGAAAATACTAATGTCAAAACATTGCTTCCAGAAAAGTTATTTGCAAAACATTGACTTCCTGAAGGCTCTAACAAATAAATATTACATATATCTATAAGCTTGACGTTTTCAGCAAAAATGTTTGATATAGGGGAAATGTTTGCTTCGGCAATACCTCAACCTATTATCGTCAGGGGGTAAACAACGTCCTTGAGGGCTCAATTTTGGTATGTGGATACATTGTCCATTGGCCAAATTTAAGTGCTCTAGGACTTTGTTTACCCCCCTGACGATAATAGGTTAAGGTATTGCCGAAGCCAACATTTCCCCTAAATAATATTGTCTAAAACTTTGCTGGAGATACCAATTTACTATTTCGACAAACAAAAAATTAATTTTTTTTATCTCCCTGCTAGGTAGATTAATCATGAAATGGCTGAGCCCATAAGAAGGGGCTCTTTAAGTGCACAAACTTCTCCGAAGATACTATATGCTTTATATTTTATACTCCGTACACAGCAAAAAAAAATGTAATATCGATCAATGTAATTCAAGCTGATGTATGAAATAATGATGTAATAGCAAAAAGCAGATACAATATGACATCAATGGACGTAATTTTGTTCGCAAAATCGATGTACATCGTACGACGTTATATTACACAACCGATGGATTGACCTGGTTGGAGCAGTTTGGATGTAATATTCAACAACTTTTTTTCTGTGTACAGACTATGGTTTATATCATGTAATATAGGCTGACTTGCAATGAGCACTCATACATAGAATTTCCAGTGAAAACTACACAGCAAAAAAATAATTTTGATATCACGTCAAAGTGGATGCACTACAATCATGTCGAAAATATGGTGTAATATTACTTGCTAAAAAGGACAAAATTATCATTAATACAATGCATGAACTGACATTACGCTGCTTTTACTGCATTTGTTTATTTATGTGGTCATAAAAATTACATGAAATTTTCGACATGATTGTAGTGCATCCACTTTGATGTGATATCAAAATTATTTTTTTGCTGTGTAGATGTATGAGTGCTCATTGCAAGTCAGCCTATATTACATGATATAAGCCATAGTCTGTACGGGGTATTACACCACTGTGCATTGGTATGATAGATCTGTAACTTTCTAAATACACTGAGGCAAATAAATTTAATAATTTCATAAGCCTCGACTTATGATCCACACATATGAATTTCATAAACATGACTTATTAATGATTTCCGTCTAATGTGAGATAGCTCTTATACGCCTTTAACCATTTCAGTTTCCTCAGCGTTCAAAAACGAGTGGTCAACACAGAGGCCTCGTAATCTCAATATCCATGGTTCGGTTCCAGTCTGTTCAGTTATATATTTTTTTTGTCAACATTATTTTTCATAAGGCAAATCCCTGGGCAAAATAAATGAACTGCAACTTGAACTCTGGACGTTCTAATTTCAAAATAGTAGAAACTGACTTGATGTGGTTTTCACATTTTTCATGATCAAAGTGTGTAGTTTTATGACATAATATGAAAGTAGATGCCAATTGATAGTGGATAGCGTTGTTATCTCATAATTAACAAAAATCCATATGGGTCTGATATACGATTATGGGCAGTGGAGTTCCAGTTTCATTATTGTATATTTTTAGGAGTTGATTTGGGTGTTCTGCAAGTTTCCTTTTTTCAATCGAAATTCAGGTTATTCCCCCCTCAGGATTTTCTTTGGTGGCAAGCTGAGTTTGGTTTAATGCTTTGTCCAAGTGTTGCGAAATGTCATCAACAGTCATCATTATCTCAATGATTATGATCAAAGATCACTAATAAAATTTAAAATTCTTTAAATCACTGACAATCTTTTAATAAACACTATCATTTACAGAATACGCACACTGCGTGAAAAATCACAAAATCGTTACAGAGTGTGTTGCCACACCTCGCTCCTTCTTTCTTTTCTTTCTTCATGAGGTTGTTTGTTGTTGTTCTTGTAGTCTTCGATCGATCTGATGTTTCTAGGCATTCGTTTGAAGCTACTCCCACTGGTGACTAAAGATGTGGCCTTCTTCGATCGGGATGTTGACTCGAAGATTGTCACCCGTATGTTGTTATGGTGTGACGGCAGTGGGAGCACTCTTCCTTTGTTTTGACAATTCTACTTGGCACTCAATAGTTGAGCAAATTTGACGCACGTGGTGTGTGAAATGCTTTTTACAATAGTCGCGAAGGCATCAGGCATAGACAGAGTGATGAAAATGTTGCATTTGGCTAGTTCCTAGGGTTGTTTGGCATTCATGGAAATGATGGCTTAGTAGTGTTCGGCCTCGTACAGGTGTGGCTTGTAGGAGCCATCATCCTCATGTCCATGCCCTTGAGCAGCCCATTGAGCTGATCCAGAGTGAGAACCAGCGTTATGCAGGGCGTTCAGGTGGAAGGCCTTGGCGTGCTGGACCTCTGGGGTTTCGACTGGAACTCCATTGTGGATCACTGGGATGTGCTGAGGTCCATGCCAGGCTCCGGATTCGTGGTGGGCTGGGGCATGAGCATAGGAAGCGGGGGCATGGGCATAAGCAGAGGGGGCATGGTGACCGTATCCGGAAGATACCTTAGCGTAAGAGGCAGCGTGGAAAGCCTTGGCGTGCTGGACTTCCGGGGTTTCAACTGGGACACCATTGTGGATCACCGGGATGTGGATGGGTCCGTGCCACTTCTGTGCTGGGGCATCATGATGGTCCCAATGGTGACCAGCTGGACCGGAACTGGCAGCGACATGGGCGTGGGCAGCGAAGTGAGCAGCCTTGGCAGCGGCGACCTCAGGGGTATCGGCAGGAACGTACGATCCGGAGCAGACCGCAGCCATGAGCAGCACTGATCCCAATACCTAAACGACCAGGAAGATCAACAGAAAAGCACAACATTCAATCAGTAATTGATTCACTTGATATTCTTATGGTTTTCACTTGACAGTCCTTATCATCACTATCAAAACACTTAATCACTCTGAGCAACTTACGAAAGCCTTCATTGTAAGATTTGGTTGACTTTGCAAAGCAAAAACAGACACTTGCTGAAACTATTGAGTGCTGCAAACCTCCTGGTTGATCTGAATCGGACGAGGACTGTTCGCGGACTGTGCCTAACCAAGTGAATGGGAAGCAGTTTTATACACCCGTGCACGCAGCGGTTTGAAAGGCCACCATGACGAGCATAATTAATTAGCGGCCAACCGACCTGTTTTGTGCTTATTTGCCGGTTCACATGCATCTGAAGGAAATGTGTCAAGAATTCGTTTGAAAAAAATTATAAACAATTACAGACTTTAACATATTGTAATAATTATCGGAAAGAGATGTACATATCGTCATGACAGCCTTATAACATGTATACCTCCCCAGTCTGAACATAGCTTTAATCGCCGTATTCTTGATTCACCTAAGTGAAAAGTAATTACTATAAAGTAAATTCACTATGTCAGACTTATCACTGGAGTAGATACCTATTATAGTAGTATTACCTCGACACTAAGCGAATAAATCGACATGATTTTTTACCACAAGAAATTCATTGAAATTTCATACGATTCTCGTTCAGATTGGTCAGGTATAACATATGATAACGCTATCTTGATGTGTTTTTCTGTAATAACAATTATGTTATAACTCTGCAATCTGAACAAGGCATTAGCCATCAGACAACCTTGAGCTGTTCTGGGCCAAATAGGATGATAAATTGAATTTTTGATTCGACTTTCTCCGATTTGCAAGAAATTTTCGATCGATTCTATGACTATCTTCGATCTGGAGTACACTTGGCTTATATTTTCAATATGACAGACGTGGGTAGATCACCTTTTCATGGTTCGTTACGGGATGTAAGATCTACCACCGATTTCTAATCCTGACTACTGCAAACTAGGGGAACAGTAATCAAAGGAACACATTTTAGTCCTTGTTATTTTTTATGCCTTGTTGATAGTGACAAGACTCGGTTTTGTCCACCGAGGATGATCTTGAAACAAGGAAAAAGTGAGATATAACTATTTTTTTTTTTTTTTTTTTTTTCCTTTGGTTTGTTTTTTCCGTCGATCTTGTTTTCCGTGCTGAGCACCAATGCTACCGACGTGCCAGGAAGGCAGCTCCCACACCTGGACCCTACCTATCGACCCATCAACTCATGAACCGGGGACCAACGGCTTTACTTCCCATCCGAAGGAAGGCGTGATCAGAGATGTTATGCCTCAGAACATCCCGGCGGCGCCGACTGGGATTGAACCCAGGCCTGCTGGGGTGAGAGGTAATCACGCTTACCACTACACCACCGGCGCCGTTATATAACTATTTGTTGTGTATTACTTCTGCGTGAAGTTAACGATTTACATAGTTGAAGATGCTAATTTCAAATAACAGACTAAAGTGGTAATTTTTATACGATAGATGAGGAGATGAAAGTATATAGTTGATAGTTCCGTTAGAGTGCGGCAGTGCGAAAATTTTATATAGAGAGTAGAAACCGAGCAAGGATAACTTCTTTAGGAAGGTACAAATCGGATTGATCACCTCTCTTTACCAAACTTCCCCGTTGGAGAGGGATGGTGAGGGGTAATCAGCATTTCATCTTTCAGAAGAGATTACTCTACAAGCAAATAAGCTATTCGTGATCTTAGAACAGGTGAACCCACATTTTGTTTTTTTTTATAGTAACTACAGTAAACAGACTGAGAAAATGATTTGAACAAATAGTTTTTGAGATATGACCAGATTAGTGAGTTGGAGTTTTAAGCTTTTCTGGTGGAAAATCAATGCTATTTAATATTTATTTTTTATTTTTTCTTGAATTTCTTCACGCCGATGGTGCAATAATATTTTTATGATATTTTTCACATGTTCTGAGCAGTATTCTCATTACATGAAATCATAACTAGATCATTTTTTTACTTCTGTCCATAATTTAATTGTGGTCCTAAAAGCGTCAACTTAGTGTTCTAGATGCACTTCCACAGTTATTAATTGAGAGCTTTCGATGCATGAGTTAACTGTTATCGTAACTGTCATGTATCTTCAGCAAACCCATACTTCAAAATCAGTTTCTTAACCATTATGTACCATGTTTTCACTGCCATCTTATCCACACACCGTTATTTCTGTCTTTTCGCAAATCTAACTATTTTCTTTACTAGTGCTAAAAGTGCTCTAAATTAGTCACCTACAATTAATCTACTCGATTGGTTAGAGAACAACTGAAAATATACTTTTGTTCCAGGCGAATTTTGTCTTCTGCACAAACACAACTTTCAACTTGTTTTGTTTTTTTTTTTTATTTCTCTAAATGAACACGTATAAGAGCAGGTTCGTCCACTTATATGTGTGCAAACCTAAAAATCTATTAGTATAGACATAAACAACTGTTTCCTGTGCGTAGCTTCAAATGCGTAGAAGAAGAACATGACAGTTACGTTCATGAATGGAACGTGTGTTTTCAAAAAATGAAAAATAAAGGTTCAACGTTTATTTTTCTTTATAACTAAATAAAAAAAGCATTCTTGCCCGTGATTTGTGGATGACAGCTGCTACTTGAATAATACCCTTATTTGAGTAATTAATTACTGAAAATTTATATACCTGCTAATCTATATGATTTCATCGTATTTCTAAAGCACAAATTTTTGGCTGTATTCCATAGGAATGTATATTTCACTTTTTGGACCCGAATTAAATTATGGACAAGTAAACAAATGAGCTAGTTATGCTTTCATATAATGAGAATCCTGCCTTGAACATGTGAAATTCATAGTGCTACAAATGAACTAAATCCAATGCTGTTTTTACTTACTTTTTTAAATCAAATAGAAGCTTCTCGCAATGAACAGAAAATTGTCTCAAAGGTCATTCCGTGCAGCAATTTTTTGAAAAATTTTAACCTCCGTTACTCGCGCTGTTGTACTTTGTAGAACACACATGAGTTTTCCATTGCCATTTTGTTGCTGGGTATGCAATCGATCTGAAACCAACGAGTATTCCTCAAAAAACTTGGTTTAATCTAAACAAGCTAAACTTCCTAAACACCTAAAAAGTGCGGATAATAGGGAAAATGTAAATGGAAACCGCGTAAACTGTGACCATACTACGTGAGATTTGACTGAATTGATTACAACATGGAATGTATCGAGATCCTGACCAGATAGAAAGTTACTGTCTCTCACAAAGTTTTTCAAGAGGTCATAGCCTATTGCTAGGTGCTAAATAGTTCAGAATTTGCTCACTACGCGACGTTAGTATACACGTAAAATTCTCATATAAAATATCTCGAGTTCCCAACCACATAGAAAGGTACTGTCTTCGGCATAGTTGTTCAGGAGATCAAGGCCTTTTCGCAGGTGGACAGAAGTGCAGAGTTTTCTCACTTCGTGGCGCTACTATACATGTGAAATTCTTGCATATAAAATATCTCTAGATCCAGATGTATTCGGCATAGTTTTTCAGGAAGTCAAGATCTTTTTGTTGGGTGAAAATAGTTGAGAATTTTCTTACTATGTGGCGCTAGTATATAAGTGCCTTTCACGCATATTCAGCTCAAAATCTTGATCAGCTAGAAAGTTGCTGTCTTCTGCAAAGTTGTTTAGAGGGTCAAGACTTTTTGGTTGGTAGACAGTACTTAAGAATTTTCTCACCACGTGGCAAGTTTTTCGCTGAGATCCAGCAAAATAAAATACCATGCTGCTCGGAAATGCCCATCTCGGCAAAAAATCTAAGTGTGTAGGTACATCCAAAGTCATACAGAAAAGGCCTGATATTATGAAATTATCATCTCTTTCATTATACCGGTATTCCTACGCTGCTGGTAGTGTGAAGTCGAATTTATGGTTACATACACCTTATCCTAAATCTAAACGAGAAGAATCTACTCAGTTTGTCTAAAATGTGTAATGTAATGTAAAATGTATAAAATACATACACACAAGTTAACCAGTCGAGCCATAGGGCTATCTCAGTCGTGAGATTGTTTACTCAGTAACTGTTGTCTGGAGAAATTTGCAAAAGCGTACTTCACTCAGCGCTGAGTAACCTACACTCCCGATCATAATCTTAAAACACCCCCAAAATACATGCAAATGTGTGTAACGTGCCAGTGCGGTGCTACTCCCAGCACTGATGAGACCCCCGTCTCCAAGCCTCAGGGTCGGTGCACGCTCGTGATTATTCCGCGAACCAAGAAAACACTCAAAGTTCACTTAAGACAAACTCCCACTTTATTCGTTTTGATGACACTCACTTCACGGACGGTCTCCCACTTTCTTAGATGTCTACTCCTACCTTGTGCTAGCACTACTCTTCTTTGTCTTCGGGGCCCCTTCACCTGCCACTGCCGTCGTCGTTCCTCTCCTTCCTCTGGTACCGCATCACCTTCTTGGGCCAGGGGTGGACGCCTCTACCTGTCCCGTGCGCCCCTCGAGTATGGTGACGGACTCGAGGTTTCAACGAACCACAAGGGTAAGTTGACTTGCCTGGATTGGTGGCGCACACTGTAGCTGAGGGATCAGATTCTCGAACTGCGATTCGGACACACTATCGGCGATTGGCTTGGTCGACTCCGGAAAAATACGTTGAGTTCACTGGCGTTACGGTAAAACCGCGAGGTCCTGGCTGTCCAATGGTATGTGGCAACTTCCTCTACAACTTCTTCAAACTTCCAACTTAGCTCACTTTAGCACTTTAGCTTTAGTTTTCACCTTCAAACTATTAATTTTTAGTTTTGACTTTCGCTATGTGACCGTAGTCTATAAAGATCACTGTGTCTCTTGGTGGACGATGACCCCGAACCGTAACCGTTGAACCGTCGTACGTGCCACGAATTCTCCACGCAATGGCCCGATTACGCCACCCCTATGGACGTCCATTCATGACTGCACACAGCGTGCTCTGGTGGTGGCTAGTAGCATTGTTCTACAGTTTATAGGGATGTGTCTCCTACTGGCTGCGTTCGTGAGGATTCTGGGACGTTTTACCTTTTACGAACATTTAAACTTTTTCTTGGAATTTAATAACTAAATATACGAAAACTACACGCGATTAATCTCACCAATCTTGGACACAACGCTTACTCTTGTTACATGTGTTTTTTTTTCAAAGCTCTT